TCCAACATGAAGATGAAGAATTTCACGTTCATTATGTTCTATTTCTCCTGACATTCTTTTAGAATTCAATATAAAAGTGAGAGAATAAAATCAACTTGCACTTTTCTTTGTTAGATTACATGTTTTTTATTTGTCAACAGAAATAAACGAATAGTAATCATAGTTTTAAAAATTGAAGGCACAAAGAAGATCTTTATGGATTTCATTCCATCTTGAGGGTGTGGATGCAGAGATTGTAGAAGATTCACACTCGTACCTTCAAGAATTATCTAAATGATAGATTCATTATATGTTTAGTTGATAAAAAGACGATCAAATACTTATTTAGACAAATATGCAATGGAATCATAGATATTTTTCAATCAATTTCTAGGATTGAAAATGGCATGGATGAAATGAATTGTGAAGAATGATCATGTGGAACGTTTTATATATTTTGTACTAATATATGAAATTGTAAAATTGGAGATAATGAATTAAATTGTTTTCAGATTTACCAATGTTTTCCAGATATCTGTTATTGTTTCAATAAAAGTCTTCGATATACATTTAAAAGTGCATGATACATCAAATTGTCTTGGTTCAACACATAATAGAGAATATTATCGAGCAAATTATTCAATGAATTTTCTATTAATGCGTTTATCGAATATTTTCAACAAGTATGAAAGTGAGTTTATGATCAACAATGTTATTCTGAAGCGAATCTTAATAAATATTAAAATCAACAGATCTATTTTTATGATATATTAATATTGAAACGAGTATAATAGGTAATTATATGATTAACTTTAGGAAGCTGTTATTTATCTATTACAGTTTCACTAAAAGAATGAAAGATAGAGAAAAAATATTTCTGATAGATTTAAACAATGTAATGGTCATTTTGACAGTGTGGGTTTAGGTCTACGTGTGAATGAAAGATCAGTTTAAAACAATCATTGTTACTCACACACCAACACCCGCACCCACACCCTCAAGATGCCTGGATAGTTCATTATCAGCAATCTTGCCCATCGGAGGTCTTTGACAAAAGCATTCTGTTAGTCTTTGAACATGTATTTATAACTTGTTTTATATTATAATGTACAGAAAAGTGAATTTTTTAATATTGACATAAACCATATTTATTTTTACTAACGGACAAAAACCAAATAATATGCTTCATTCTGTCACTATTTCTTAACATTTATTTCAGACTTTGAAAGAAAAAGACTGAATGCTTTTTTTTCCCTATCATTTGCTAGTGTAACATGAATATACATTCTTTTAATAAAACACCTGCAATATCGATAATGTATAACAGTAACTAAAAAACAAGTTTGATTTTTACAAAAATAATCTGTTTTTTTATCAGAGTTAAAGTCATTCATTTTAAATGCAAGTTCTAGAATCGCATAGATACATATAGTTAGTTTAAATTTAATACTCATCGACATAAATGAAGTGCAAAATAGTTTTGAATTAGTGGCCTATAAAATCACTTCACTTTTTGTATTTTTCATCAATACCTTTAATCAGGGTCTACCTAAATGTAAGTAAAGATAAAAGCGAAAACATTGATCTATATAGATTATGATAAATATTTCATTATATTTTATAGATTCTTATAAACACTCATAGATACTACACAAACTCTATATACATCTTACCAATGAATCTTTTTTTGCAAAGTATAGAAATATTGACTCATTGTAGAATTTGTTTTTATCATGAGCTTATAGTGTAAGTTAACAATGATTTTTACTTTCTATTTTTATAGCTGAATATGTTTTATACATTATAATGATATAATAAATTTATCCAGTGTTTCTTTTTGTTTAGTGTTACGACCAGGAAATACGTGATTGTTAATACTGAAAGTAGTTTCGTTACTCTGAGACGAAATAAAACATTTATATCGAACCATTACAACAATAATATACCATATCAATATTCGCACATAGATAAGTACGAATGACAACTCGACCACGTTTATTTGCTCGTACATTTAAAGTAAATCATAACCCTGAACAAACATCGTCATCAAAAAAGTCTATTATTCTACTACTGGATTTATTTTCAAGTGATATGCATTTACGTAAAGAGCTTGATCATCTTTCTAACTGTCACTGCTTTCGAGCGTATTCTATAAATAACTGTTTAGATTTAATATATCAAGATGGTATTAAAGATGGTTTAATTTTGCTTATTATTTCATCTCGATTTGTTGACTTTATTTTCGATATCTTGTTAGAAATTGTGCCACAATTGTCATATATTTATTTATTTGATAAAGTTCCATACAACCAGCACTTAGTTCGTGATCTACGATTGCGTGGTATATTCGATAATGTTCAATTATTAACTGAGCAAATACGTGAGGACATTGAAAACTTCGAATTTTCTACTCATAAAAGCGAAGGCGTTCATTATATACTTGAAGACAGTGCAACATTTTTTTGGTATCGATTCTTCTTTAATATTCTTGACCGTTTAAAAAATACTGATATCGCAAGACATGAAATGATTAATCGAGTTCGTACTACTTATGGAGATGATACACGTAGATTGAAAGAAATTAATCATTTTGAGAATGAATATTACTCTGATGACGTTATCCATTGGTACACTACACTAGGCATTTTTTTTTGGGAACTTAATCAAGCATTACGCAGTCATGATATCAATGAAATATTTTTATTGCGGGCTTACATTAGTGATCTCGACAGAAAGCTTCGAGAACTATGCTCAATGCAAATGGATTCTCAATCAAGGTGTGTATTTCGAGGTCTACTGTTACATAAATACAACTTACGTAAGCTGACAACAAATGTAGGTAAATTAATCGCAATGACTTCTTTTCAATCTACAAGTTCAGATCTCGATATTGCGAAGGTTTTTGCCGGAGATGGTGAAGTTGATTTCCCTTTTCAACCAGTTGTCTTCAAGATACTTATTGAATCAAACAACAATAAAATAGTATGTGCCGATATCTCCAAACTAAGTGACTTCGAAGATGAAAAAGAGCTCCTATTTTCAATACGATCAATGTTTCGTATCGAACGAGTTGAATATTCTGGTAATATATGTTATATTAATTTAACAGCTGTAGATGAAGATGATCAACAATTTTGCACAGCAATCAATCCGTGGAAAGCAAAAATTAGTGAACAGAGTTTTTTTTCTGGACGTCATGAACCATTATTTACTCGACTTTTAATCGATGAAAATAGTTCTTTTCTAGCTTTTCAACTACTTACTGATATGATGTTACGACTTCATCAAACTGAATTTGCTCGACAAGAAATGATTGAAATGTGTCGACTGAAATGTGAACACAGCTTAACTGATTTAGAGAAGATCAATGAATTTGAAAGATCCTATCAACATAGTCAAGCCATAGAATGGTATACAACAAATTCTTTTCTTTATCGACTTCTTCATCAAGCACTTAGAATGGAAGATATTGATACTATTTTTAAACTACGTTATTACATTTATGATTTACATAATCAATTAGCTCAACTTCATCGATCTTATCTTTACTCTTTACCGTCGAATCAACCAATATTAACACTTTATCGTGGACAACGTATGAAAACTACTGAATTAACAAAACTTCAAGAGAATGTTGATAAATTAATATCTATGAATAGCTTCTTATCGACAACAAACGATGTTATAGCCGCTATTTTTTTTGCTGGTGATGGCTGTCTTAATGATCCAGACGAGGAAATATCAGCTGTTTATCAAATCACAATTGATACAAGTGTACCTCATTCAATTCCATTCGCAAAAATTCAGTATAAAAGTATATTTCAAGATGAAGATGAAGTTTTATTTTCCATGGCCTCAGTTTTTCGAATAGATAATGTTGAACAGTATGGAGCGTTGTGGGTAGTTGAATTAACATTAATCAACAAAGAAGATGAAACATGGAATATTCTTACAGCACATTTAAACAAATAACATCAGTCAATCATCATGTATTTATTCAACAAACTATATTTTACATTGAGAGTTTGATATTGTTTTTCAACTTTAAAATATAAAATAAAAACGTTTTTGTGAAGCTTGTAATGATATAGTATTATATAATTATGTGTGACACAAATTCGAATATATGACGTTGGTATTGTGATTGATAAAATGCAAATAAAGTGATATTAAGATAAGAAAAAGATGCAATTATATTAGACTTATCTCTGTTTACCTCTTTTATCACCCTTCAAAGTTGTAGGCACCAGTTGTGGTATATACGAGACAGATATGAAAACGTTGAGTAATATCTTTCATGAGTATGAATCAAAGAATGATCAGTCTGAGTTTTCTTATATGTTATTTTTCATAAAATCATTGCCGTTATATGATGGGTGTGGGTGTGGGTGTGCGAGTTATATTCATTCGCTCACACCTAGACCTACATCCATACTCTCAAGGTGGTGAAAAGGGATTGCTTATATAATAATGTAAACAAGAGAAGAGCAAAATAACTGACTGTATATACTAAAAAGATTAATAAATACATTTATTAAAAGAGGGATGTATACGAAAATGAATCTAATAAAATAATTTTTAAAAAACTGAATCGTTATAAATGTGTTAAGATATCGTTTCTTTTTAATGATATACAAAATGTAAAAGATCAACACAATTATGTAACTGTCTAATTGATTATCCTTTACATCAACAAGATAAATATTTACTTTGTACATCAGATTCGTTGTCAATTCAATGTATATTATTATAAAAATGGAAATTTAGTTAAAAATCCTTTTCGAGAAGATGAATTCTTGTGTGATTTAATAGATGTTATGGATTAATTAATGATGAATTTGGTGAATATCCATTAATACCGAGAATGAGTTCTGATCGTATGAAACTACTTCATATACATACAAAAATTTTCCAAACCTCATCAACAAATAATGTTCTTGGAATATGGTATTGTCATCGTGATATATTAATTCTTAAAGACTCTGATAGCGGTCAGAAAGTTCTGAAACAACAGTTATTTTATATTCATAATTCTTTTAATTGAATGTGTTTTGTGACAATAGATCGATAGAAAAAAACATAATCTCAAGATTAATTTGATTGATAAATAAAGATAGAAATGAAAGGTATTTGGGCGATTTTTACGATAATAATCAAGATATTTGAATGAACAAATTTAATGGTTTCAAGAATGAGATTTCAAAAAAACGATTTTCTCTGACATATATTAATTATGGAATAAAATAAGTGCTATGTAAAATATATTGAATGTTCAGTTCTTAAATTAACAGTAAATATTATGAAAATGCTCAGTTTATTGTATTAAGTATCAGTAAGGATATAGGATTACTATCAGTAAGAAAAAGAAATTTGCTAAGTAAAGAATTCAAATTTGATCAGTAAGTAATACACGTTTTATCAGTAGAAAAAAGAAATTGTAAATTACATATCACGGAACGAGAAGACAAATTTGATATAGATAAACTTGAATCATTGCACCAGTAAGGCAGATTTTGCTTTTGATGGACGACCTCTTTTTCTTTGACGGTGATATGAACCACATTCATATTTATTATCAGTTAGTACTTTCAAGTATGTAGTAGAAAAGAAAACATAGCATAGATGAGTCACGCAATAGTATACTTCAATTTATTGACTGATCCTATAACATAACTAACTGAGAGTCGATTTTATTTACTGATCATGGAAATTTCTAATCATGCGGTTTATTTAATTACTGATCACTTAAATCCATGAATGCTAATTATAATTAAGATATTGAGCTACTTCGTGTTTCTGTTAGTATAAACTATTTTATTTATATTGTTATTTTTCACCATGAAAGATGTTAACATTAATTAAACTGTTGCGATGTAGAATCTGACGAAGATTGACTTTATCAAATGGAATATTTATTTGATTGCGTATTAACAATTCTAGAGTTTACTTAGTGAGACTCAATTAGATAGTAAAAGTAGAATTAAACACGGAAACCAGTATACAATATTTTAAGAAAAACAGGAGACTCGCATGCTCAGTCGATAATATATGAAAGCAGTAATTAGTTATAAAAAATGTGTTTTTTATTTTGACTAAAATAATTATAGACAAACTGATGTATATAATGAGGCTGTCTACATAAATAAATGCGTATATATACCTTCTGTCACTCTGCAAAATAAACATTCTTGATTATTTTTTGCGTTGATGCAGTTAAAACGACAATTTTTATTTAGTAAACTGAAAGTTTTTAACGTTTTTTCTACATTATTGAGAACAAATCATTAAAACTTTATGATGAATTCAGAAGAAAACGATACATCGACAACAACATTTCAAGTAGCTGAAACTCAATTAACTCGCCTTATAAAATATATCATTTTCCAAACTTTTCAAATTCCTGCGATATTTTGTTTCATACTGATTTTTTACAGTGTCTATCGTGAACGTGAACTTCGTCGTCTTCATAATCATGTTATGCTTTTAATCCTTCTTAGTTGCTTTATTCTTTTAATCGGTGAACTTCCGATAACGTTAAGTTTTTTTTATCGTGGATGGTTAGAACCTCAGTCTGATCGTCTTTGTCTCTATTGGATTTTTATGAATTATACTTTTGAAGCGATGATTTTTCTTCTAATGGCATTTGCAAGTATCGAACGATTCGTATTGATATTTTTTTCAACAGTTATAACAGGATCAGGACGTCGAAAATGTTTTTTTCATTATATTCCAATGATATTCTGTTGTGTTCTTGTAATCTTTTGGTATATCATCTTGCTCTTCTTATATCCATGTGTCAATACTTTCAACTTTAGTTCATTCCTATGCAATTCTGCTTGTTATCAATCGAACGTTGTAATTGGAACAATTGATTGGGTAGGAACTGTTCTTTTACCTGTATTGATTACCATTGTTTTTAATGTGTTATTATTGATTCGTGTAATATTACAAAAACGACGTTTACATATCGGTATGAATTGGCGTCGTTCAAGAAAAATGTTGATTCAATTACTTTCTGTCGTATTAATATTTCTTTGCACACAGATTCCTCTGACTATATTCGCATTGATTCGTCTAATTTTTGATCCAAATTTTCTGAGTACTATAGTCATATTATGGTATTATTTTACAACATATTTCATCATTTTGCTGATTCCATTTGCATATGTTATTACGACAAATGAAATACACAAACATCTAATTATTTTAAAATTTTGTAAACCTCGTTTGATAAATCCTGTGACAGTTAATACAATTCAACAACCAAAATATCCTACTACCAAGATTTAACCAACTATAAGAAGAGAATTTCACCAACATAGGAGATCGATCTACACATTCTTTTTCGTATTGTTTTCATTATACTGTACTCTTTGTTGTTGTTCTTTTTTTCTTCAAATATATTAATTCAATCTGAGTTCAATATCGATTTTGCACAATGAAAGTGAACGTGAATCAAAGAGAATTAGCGAAAGGAAATCGAGACTTTAACAGATATCATAGTTCTCTTTCATCCTCACCCGCACTCTCAATTTATTCTAATTCAGACAATTAATTCCAATAAAATAAACATTTTGTCAAGAATATAATAACAAGTTACATGACTAAAAGTATTTCAAGATTAAATCTGATAAATCAGTAATAAGCAAATCATTTATTTCTAATATGTTTTTGATGGACCATAGAGTTCAGAAGTATTTAAAAGTATACTACTACTAGCTCCACCAACAATAAAAACTGAACCATTCTCTAATATCGATGCAGTATGTTGTCTTCGCGTATAGTTCATATTTGCAGCAAATGTCCAAGTGCCTGTTGATAAATTATATAACTCAGTACTACTTAGTTCCTCATTACCATTCCATCCACCAGTAACTAACACTTGTCCATTTGTTAATAAAGATGCTGTATGTTCACATCGTTTATGAGTCATATTACCAGTAGTTGTCCAAGTTTCAGTTGATGGATTATACAATTCAGCTGTATTTAATTCTTTATTCCGATAATATCCACCACTAACTAATACATTACCATTCCGTAATATAGATGCTGTGTGACCAATTCTTATAGAAATCATACTACCCGTGGTTGTCCAAGTTCTTGTCGATGGATCATACAACTCAGCACTGTTCATTTCAATATATTGAGTGAATCCACCACTAACTAAAACTTTTCCGTTGTTTAATACAACTGCTGCATGAATTTGTCGCGCATAATTCATACTACCAACAGTTATCCAAGTTTCACTTCGTGAATCATATAATTCTGAACTATTTAACTCTTTGTCTCCATTCCATCCACCGACAATTAACACCTGTCCATTTTTTAATAAAGATGCTGTATGAAAATAACGTGCAGAACTCATGTTCGCAATAACTGTCCAAGTTTCTGTTGTTGGATCATACAATTCTGCACTATTTAAATATCTACCACTAAAACTAAATCCACCTGTAACTAATACTTTTCCGTTTTCCAATACCGACATTGTATGACCACATCGTTCGAAATTCAAACTGCTAGTAAGTTTCCAAGATTCTGTCGATGGATCATATAATTCACTGCTATTCAAAGGATAATCATTATAAAGTCCTGCGGTAATCAATACTTTTCCATCTTTTAATACGGATGCTGTATGCCCATTTCTTGCATAGATCATACTTCCACTATTGAACCATTCTAGAAAGAAGTCATTTAATGTAATATATTTATTCCTTTGTGGCTTACTTGATTGTTGAATAGGGACAGTTGTAGTTAGAACTATATCTGTTGTTGGTTCTATTACTATTAGTGGTACCATTGTTGTTGTATACACTTCTTCTATTTCTGGCACTATTGTTGTTGTGTAGGCTTCTTCTATTTCGGGTACTATTGTTGTTGTGTAGACTTCTTCTATTTCTGGTATCATCGTTGTCGTATACACTTCTTCTATTTCGGGTACTATTGTTGTTGTATAGACTAGTTCTGTCTCAGATACCATTGTTGTTGAGAAGACTTCTTCTATTTCGGGTACTCTTGTTATTGTTGCTATTATCTCTGTTGTATCAGGTACTATTTCTATTTCTACTAATACTATTGCGTCTGGTACCTCTTCTGTTGTTGTACGTATTATATCTGCTACAGGTATTATAGTTGTTGTAGGTATTATTTCTATTGTTGTTGTTGTTAACGTTGTAGCAGCATTGATGTTGGACTCTCTTGGTATACATAAGCCACATTTTAATAGTAGATAGAGAATAATCACAGAAATGATTGCATTGAATAAACAAATACAGAGAACTATAATCCATCGCCAGTGTAAACATTTATGTCGTCCATAATTTCTATCATGCATGACGAGACCTAGACTACTATTATCCATTAATTTTCAGCAATAAGTCTATTTTGAAATAAAATACAAATTATTGTTGTATAACACTTGTTGTTTTGTTTTTCACTGCAGTAAAAGTATCAAAGATGAAGCAGACTTGCTTCAAAGATAAGAAAGCATGGCTGTATTCTTATCTTTATATTATATTTTTGCAGTTCTCTAGTATAATACAGAATAATATTTTCATTCTACGATTTGTCACATTCAATATTTTTGTTAAGCAGCGACTGTTACACATAGGGTATGTAGAAGATCTTTCTGATCATTCTTTTATCTCTTTATATCTCATAAATGTTAATATTATACTAGTTCTATTTTCGAAGACATATCGTGGTGTACTAAGCATTTTATTAGAAGCATATTTAAATACAGATTACTCGGTTTATCGATATATTTATAATTAAAAAAATATATATCATAAAGTTACAACTAACACGTGTGTTAAACTAAAAAAAGCTATTACATTATTTTTTTTCTACTAAGAGACATTGCACGCAAGCCACGACCGACGTTGCTCAATGGATCTCACCGATTTCGCTGATATTTCTACAATAGTTAGGCATAAGTGTTTTAGGAATAATCTGAAAATTTTAGCTCAAACGGCCGAACCATTCCTGAGATATGACGGGACCAAGCTAGGGGGGGTCAGGTATATCTGAAGACTTTTTTAGGGCAACTCGTCTCACTAAATTTTCATTTTCTTAACAATGATGGGCTATCTTTTGGTGGTATTGAAAGTCCTCTTTTCTAAAATTTTTGTTGTGCCCTGCTATATACCATGTTTAGAAAATGTGTCCAACTGTGCATAGTCACTTAGTCACATCTGAATGTATCGACACACATCAGAAAAAGTTTGTTATTTTGAATTTTTTCTAATAAAGTTTTTTCAACAATTTTCCAGTCTTTTTCAGTAGACTTTACCTCAGAAAAGGTTGTATCTGACTATTTTCATCAATATGAATTGCTACGGTCAAAAAACTAATATCATATTCAAAATCAGCACAAAAAAATACACTGAAAAACATATATTTGACGCAAAAAAAACAATTTTACCAAAATTTACCTGTAGGGGACCTCAGCCAGTTTTTAGAAGAAATAACTACTGAGGGGTACCACAGGTGAATTTTGGTAAAATTGTTTTTTTTGCGTCAAATATATGTTTTTCAGTGTATTTTTTTGTGCTGATTTTGAATATGATATTAGTTTTTTGACCGTAGCAATTCATATTGATGAAAATGTCTCCTAAAGAAAAAAACTGTTATAAATAAAATAAGTGCTATCATTCGATATTATTGTAACGATACTTGTCCCTTCCTTATTATATCTTCTCATTTGATATATTGCCTTTATCTATTTTTTCTGATGGATGAGTATATAAGTGTATGCTTTGTATGAAAATAATGCGATTTCAGATAAGAAGAAATATAATCCTATCAACACTAACACTTCTTCTATCAGAAATTGTCACAAATATCTTCTTCATCTCTATTCGATTCAATGCTTTAAATAACAAAAATTATAAACCATCATATTAATTGATATATTAAATCTGATAGTTTAGTGTTAATAGAAAAAAACAGTTCTAATCGATTGAACACTTTATATAATTAACCAGATGTATTTAATTATTCTAGTTTTATTTTGTTATAATTTCGATTGATTGTTTCTATTATTCATTACTACAAGATCATTTTTTATAATATCTTCAATAGTTCGACAACCACATAACATCATAGCTAATTGAAATTCTTTTTTCAATATTTCCATCACATTCTGTGCACCTTGTGCTCCATTTACTGCTAAACCCCATAGAATTGGTCGTCCAATAAGTACTGCTTTTGCACCTAATGCAACAGCTTTTAAAATATCTGTTCCTCGTCGTATGCCACCATCAATATAAACATCGATTTTATGTTTTTCATTTCTTATAGCATTCATAATATCTGGTAGAGCATCAATAGTACTCAAACATGTATCCAATTGTCTTCCACCATGATTCGAAACAATAATTCCTTGTATACCTTGTTTAATAGCTTCACGAGCATCATCTGGATGAATAATACCTTTGATAATTAGAGGTAACGATGTAATTGACTGTATCCATTTAAGATCTTTCCATGATAATGATGAATCAATTGGTACTGTATTACGATAAGCTTTAGCAAATTCACTATCATAATCATGGTCATCAATGAGATTTTCAGTTTGAATACCATTTGGTAAAGAAAAATTATTGCGAACATCACATTCTCTATTACCTAAATGACAATGATCAACCGTTAAAACTAAAGCTTTATAACCACATTTTTCAGCACGTTCAATTAGTTTTTGTGAATGTTGACGATTTTTTAATACATACAATTGATACCAAAGTTGAGAAGTACTTTGAGGATAATTTGTTTTAATGTGTCGACGATGTTCTTCAGCAATTAATTCCATACGTGTTGATGCAGTCGTACTAACACACATAATTGTTGAACAAGCAACAGCTGCTCGAACGGTTGCTAATTCTCCATGTTCATTATTGGCCAATCGATGTAAAGCTGTCGGGGCAATAATACATGGAAATGAAATTATCGTTGTAGAATTTAAAAGTTGTGTTTGACAATTTATTGAATTTTCTGTTGAATGAGATGATACATCAATGAGTATTTTTGGACGTAATTTTAATCGACGAAATCCTTGTAGATTATCATTTAATGTTAGCTGATCATCCGAACCAGTACTATAAAAATCATATATCATTTGTGGCAATACTTGCTTTGCTTGTTGATGATAATCTTCAACATTCAATAGAGCTCGTGATGTTTTAGTTAAATATTTATTTGCTTTTTCTTCAATGTTTTCCATTGTCGTCTATTTGTTTTGTATATAAAAAAAACTTATTTTTCTTTTCTCTAACAACAAAAATAAAGTGCATCATCAATTTTGATTTTCTCTTTCTTTCTTATCTCTACAAAACAAAGCAACACACATGAAGATAAGAAATATTTATATAAAAATGAAAAAAAAACAATCGGCTCTTTCGTTTTCTCCTGTGATTCATAATATAATTTCTATTGTTCTTTACAGTTATGTCTTTATACATCATTATTTCTCAAATAATCGATATGAAATTTTCAATAAGCATATAAAAACAAAATAGGCACCAATATTTATATACCATGAGTCGTATATATTTTGCAAATGTCTTGTGAATTTATATATTGGTTTACAATGTTTTATTGAGATGAATTATATATAGTCACGTACATAAAACAAAATAGTAAATCAGTCCTTATCAAATATTGTTATATTACCATTCATATATATATTTCTTTTTCTTCATCTTCTTATATTTTTATCGATACAGGATGATAATAATGTCAATACATTTAATAGAATTCTATTTACGAAAGTATGTTTAGTTTATTTTAAGTAATTTTGTCTATCTTTATATCTTCCTCTTCTTCTTTTCTTGTCAACGATGTAAAAATCAGACGAGAAAAAGACTATCTTGGATGTCGTCAATGTTGCTCTCATCTGACAAAGAAGCAGAACAGGATTAAAGGTATTCGTAATAATTGTAGACAGTAAACTTGAGAGAGACATGCATCAGTTTAATGACAATCCTGTTTTACGTCTTCTTTTCTCTTCAATTAAGACCTTTTTTTTATTATTCTCTCATCCAACATTTATGTAAACAACTACCACGTGTTCAAAAAGTAAGAACAGAAGAATAAGGAGAATAAAAGGAGGATTGAAATCCAAATATTATACTGATCATCGTAGTTTTCTATCAAAGAAGGTACAGTAATACTTACAGATTTTTAATGATTTTTAATTAATATTTTTATACGATATTATTCAATTTATTTATTAAGAAATTAAAATTTTCATAAAATTTTTTCATCAATATCGACTTTATTTTAGAAACATGTACAGTTTGTTAAAATATAGTTTTTGTTATATTAAGGTTGGGAACTACAAAAGGAAGGATTGTTTATTCAACCAGCTGATGCTGTTTATTCGACCTTACTTGTCTCTCTTTGAATTTAATGTGAGTCACAGGTGGTATACTAACTACATATAAATGACACTACTCTGTTTCACATCCGACATACTAACGAAAAAAATTCTCATCGTATATCTTATTCATCTTCTGGTAGTAACTTATTATCAAAAGAGATCACATTTAGTTCTAAGTTGTAAATTAAAGATATTTACAAATTAATTGAATGTATTGACAACATAAAACTGAGTATATTCAATTTTTTAAAAGCATGTAATAATATTTGTTTGTTCTAACTAGTTGGCAAACGAAATCTATTTTGATTACTAACATAAATAAAACAGGAGTAAATAGACCGGCCAAGATATAAAACTTCCCGAATGTTTTAATAATTTATTAGGTATGTTCTGTTTAAACGACCGGATGTATGAAAGGAAGGAATATAAAAACTTTCATATAACCATCGTTTTATTTTGAATAAAAAAAATGTATTTGAACATCATTTCCTAACGTTAACATAAAGGAAATCATTTTTGCTTAGCGCGCATCAAGTGTAAATCAATAAAAAACCTAATTGTTAAGTTAAAATATTAATATTCGAGTAGATTATTCTTTTTTGTTAAATTAATAAACTACAATTGATCGGTAAGAAATTTCATTATTAAGTAATTTATTATAAAGAAAAAGTAATTCTAAAATGTCAAATCAAAGTTTCTATACTTCGGTGATGCACAGGATGATCAGAAAGATAGTTCTTTTGCAAATTAGTCAGTTTTACTGTTACATTAACATGCTATTATCGAATATTCGTTGAGTTTTTCTGTGCACTGATGCTTCCTTTATTCTTAAAAACATGTTATCCGGAAGAAAAACAACACAGTTCGTATATAGTTTATCTAACATAACTAATGATGAAAAATAATTGCTATCAAACTATCATACTATAGTCAAAATTTATTTACATAAGATAGGAAACTACATACACACTGTACTCGTTAACAGATAACCACTCTGTGCAATAAGCTCCCTTTTTCTCCACATGTCGAGTGGATGATGCGAATATATTTGTCGAAAATGTCACAAATATATTTCAGCATCATCATTGGTATCATCACCATCAATCATATCTACGTTATTCATCATTACTGTGTAAGCTGCCATCTCACTGTATATACGCGATAAGCTCACGCAAATGGACATAAATATTGAAGTTAGAAAGATTCTGAATTTATGGAATTATTTTGATTTTTAAGGCTATCAGTAAAATATAAAGAAGCTGGATGATGATATCATATAAAGTATGATATCATCTCAGATATCTCTCTCTTCTTTCTCTGTTGTTAACTGTAGAATGCGTATTTGATAAATTAAAATAAACCGTTAGATAGCGAACGTATGCGTCGCACGCCACCATTTCTCTCTCTCTTCCTATCTATTCTCGAACCTTAACAGGTATGATATCATATTTAAATCACCTTCACACTCTCAGCCATCGCTCTCTCAAGACAGAGAAAAAAGAAAAAAGGACGACCAGAAAAAAAAACAAAAAAAGCTTTATTGATACAATAACTGTGCAATAAAATTTTTCACTTTGTTATTCACCAATCTTTATTGAACAAAACTGATATAGTGAGTTATTAGTTTATAATAATTTATATAGAAAACTACATTTTTTTATGTGATGAATATCTCATCGTGTATATTCCAAGAACAAAAAAGAATCGAATGAATATAAATGAAAAAAATAATAAGAAGACGAACGCATATGAATGCAAAAACAAAAAGGAGTGAAGCATACCATAAGCACATATCATCACGCGTAAGCTATATCATAAAAGATGAAATGTACAAAACATCCAAAATATATGGAAGATAGAGTGGGATGTATGTGTGTGAGAAAGAGGGGAAGTGAGAGGAGTATGAATGCAAGCAGATGCATGAAAGAGAAAAGAAAGTATATCATGTCCAGTGGACATGACGTTTTACTTTGCATTTAAATATTAGCCCATAAAATTACATTTTATTTCTTCTTGTTATTCTTTTAGATAACAACTGAAAATTATCTATATAATATTTTACATAGTCTTTTCTTACTTAATAATAATTCAAATTTCTTTCATCCAGTTAACTTTTATAGCCAATAGTAATATTGACTGACATTATCTACATGAAAAAAAAAGACTTCGAATAAAACTCTACCAATAACGGATAAATCAGTCCATTCAATCGAACTGAGGTAGAAACATTAAAATTTCTTAATGTACCGGTATTTATTCTCTACCCTGTACATATGTAATTATCGAAAAGGTAAAAGTCTCAGAATAAACGCATATATCATACTTGATACAGGTATAAATACTTTGTGCAAATATTGAAACTTTATCCACGCGTCTCTATACAATGATGAAGTATTGATATTACTTTACAGTCATAATATTTGAATATTAGCTTTCTCTCATTCAAGCGATAGACTATCGAACTATTACTATATTTAAAATATCTTAGAAAAATTGGTGAGAATATAACAGACATAAACCGTACTTTTTATTGATTAAGATTCATTTGAAAATATATCGTTTTTTTATTTATTTAGGTGCAATGCGAATTAAAACTTGTTATGTTTATATGACCGTATTAATGATTCAAGCTGGATTACTTATCTATTATAAAAATAAATATGATGCAGCTTATGCTTTTTTAAATATTTCATATATCGATACATTCTGGCATCCAAATGAGATTACATCGATTGTTCATCCTAAGCGAGTGCCTGAAGTATCGTTCAATCGTAGTTTTGTCGTGGCTATGGTTTGTTGTCGAGATGTCGCTAGATTTTTACCACATTTTCGTCAAAATATCGAAACTATTTTGACAATTTTCAAAGATTATCGTTTACTTTTGGGTGAATCCGATTCAATAGATGATACATTACCTTATCTAAATAAATGGTCGTCGACGAATTCAAAAGTACTTACTTATACTTATGGTAATTTAACAAAGACGTACTCAACACGACGTTCTGATCGAATAGCTTATTGTCGAAATCATTTATTGAATACAATTCGTGAAAAACAATGGATTTCTCAAGCACAATTTCTTCTTATTCTTGATGCTGACATCAATGCTAATCCGATTCTTTCTCTCGATAATTTTCTTACTAACTTCCATTACAATCTAAATGAATGGGGTGCAATGACAGCATCTCAAACTATACGTTATTATGATATTTGGGCACTTCGATCAACAGTCGTTAATTACGATTGTTGGAAAGAAGTATCAAAATATCCACAATATTCTAATCTTGCTTCTAAAATCTATATTGATGTACATACTAAACCTATTCCAAAAGATTACAATCTCATTCCTGTGCAGTCAGCTTTTGGTGGCTTTGCAATTTATCAAACGCGTTATTTGACTAATTGTATATATAATTCATCCGATAATGAGTCAGTTTATGGAAAATGTGAACATGTATCATTTAATGAATGTGTTAATCGTAATGGTGGAAAAATATTTGTTAATCCAGCATTTCAGAATTCGGATGGATTACCCACTTAACTATAGATTAGTCATATCTATAAGAGAGCCTTTTCAGTCAAGTTATAAATCTGGTCTTCATTTTTATACTTTTCTACTACATACACGTACAAATCATGTTAATTTTTCGATAGACTTGAGAATCATCCTATAAACATGCAGAACACTTCAATAAAATAATGTTGTTATTTTTTAATTTTATATCGAATTATGGATTTAAAAGAAGCATAACAAGATTTCAGATTATAATACATCAGGAATAATTCAAAGTGATGAACAAAAAATGATTAGTTATTAATATTAGACACATCATTTAAGTCAAATATTATACCGCTAGGTCACGTATCATAAAAAAAAATATTAGAACATATTTATTAATGAAAATTACCAAAACATATTTTTTTTATCTTTTAACTACAAATAATCTCGTATATTTTTTTTTGCGTCCTTATATTTTACCTATTCATATATTATGTTATTAGTTTGTATTGATGATAAATGTATTCACTGAATCGTATCAAATATTGGCTTGTTTTGTTTCTTTTTTTCTTGCCTTTTCTTTAATGTATTAAAGTATACATGCGTTTTTTTTCTTATTAAAGTATTATAAACATGTCTATAGTACCAAACGGTCGAGGAGAATGTTCGGTTTGTGGTAAAGACAAAATCACATACGAATGTAAAGGATGTGCAAATGATTTTTGTTATAAACATTTATCCGAACATCGTCAAATCTTTATTGAACAATTAGTTGAAGTTGACAGTAATCGTGATCAATGTCGAACTATTGTTATTCAACGAAGAGATGATTTACCAAATCATTTAGTAATGCAACAAATTTCTAAATGGGAAATTGATGCAATTAAACGAATAAAACAAACAGCTGAAGATTGTCGAAATATATTTATGGAACAAGCAACAGCTTGTTTTAATGAAATTGAAATAAAATTAAATAAATTAAATAATGATATTATTGTAACTCGAGAAGAAAATGAATTTAATGAAATTGTTTTAGAAGCTCTTCGAACAAAATTAAATAAAATCGTTGAAGAACTTGCTACTGCACCAAATGTTACAATTCGTCAAGATTCATCTACATTTATTAATAAAATTTATATTATTTCATCAACTGGTAAGTTAATTTATTAGATTTAAATTGATATAAAAATGATTTATTTTAAGGAGCTGAAATTTCTGTTCTTGCACAAGCACGAACACCGGCGTCTGCTGTAAGTTACAATTCGAAATATGTTCAAAATGCAGTTACTATTGCTGGAGGAAATGGTCAAGGACGTGGATTAAATCAGCTTATACTTCCTGAAGGTGTATTTGTTGATGAAGATAATTCAGTATATGTTGCTGATTCTGGTAATCATCGAATTTTAAAATGGCAATATGGAGATAAAAATGGTCAAGTTGTTGCTGGTGGGAATGGTAAAGGAAATCGAAATGATCAATTAGATGGACCCATATGTGTTGTTGTTGATAAAAAAAGCAATTCTCTTATTATTTCTGATTTGGGTAATCGAAGAGTTGTACGATGGCCTCGTATACCAAATTCTACAGGACAAACTATTATACCCGATATTAAATGTTCTAGTTTAGCAATAGATAGTATTGGACAACTTTATGCTGCTAATTGGAAAAAACATGAAGTTCGACGATGGAAAATAGGAGATAAAGATGGTATTCTTGTTGCTGGAGGAAACGGACAAGGAAATAGTTTGAATCAACTTGATTGTCCTAGTCATATTTTTGTTGATAGTGATAATTCTGTTTATATATCAGATTATTCAAATCATCGTGTAGTTAAATGGTTGAAAGGTGGACGAGAAGGTATTATTATTGCTGGTCAAAAAGGTTTAGGAAGTAGTCTTGCACAATTATCTCATCCACAAGGAATTGCTATTGATCAATTCGATCAAATTTATATTGCAGACTGTGATAATCATCGTGTAGTACGTTTAAGTAAAGGAGATACACAAGGAACTATTATTGCTGGTGGAAAAGGTCAAGGTGATCAACCACAACAATTAAATACTCCTATTGGTATAGCATTAGATAGACAAGGTCATCTTTATGTTGTTGATTCAGAAAATCATCGAGTACAAAAATATCAACTTACAACTAATTAAATGCACTGATCTTATCCATTAAATTTTTTTTATGAACATTTATTTTTAGCCCAAAACAAAAAAATTTTTTTTTTAGAAGAAGAAACAAATAAATTCTTGCTTTTTTTACCAGTTTAATTAACAAAGGAAAATAAACGAACACCATTTTATTTTCTTATAAATATTAAAAAAAATAACATCAATTTGTTCTATATATTTTTTTTGATATTTATCGATATTAATTTTCATTGTGTGACTGTGTATGCTCATTCAATCGGAACAGATATATACCTTTTTTTTCTCTTTCGTATGTTTAGTTAGGCACATGTTTGCTAGAGAGTAATAGCAATTAGAAAAGTAAATGTTTATAATTATGATAATGAAAAATACATTTACAAATAATTGTGACAATTTTGAATTTATTTCGAAATATGAAGAACTTAATCTTTTTTATTAGAAAATTTGAAAAAATGTATATGTCATTACGGTCTGCTTACGTTAGCAAAATTTTTCTTGTGTTTTGGTTGACAATGCAAACTAAAAAGAAAACTGTCAATAAAGCACCTATAATACGTCAACATCTGCGCACATCTTCAGTATCACTTCTGATAATAAAAAAAAGTAGACCAACTCTTTTGCACGATCATCATTCAATTTCTTTATTTTTGCTTTATGAATAAATTCTTATCAGTTACTTTTATCAACTATTCTTTTTTTCTTCTCATGTTTTATCGTAGTATATATACATTTTGAAACATATTCATTGACTAAATCTATTCACATTTTTATTAGAATGAAAGCAATCATCATTTTATGCATTTGTCTATTTGGTATCATTAGTCAAGTTAATTCTAATGCATCAACAGGAATTATTCAAAAAGAAAAACTAGGTGATTATGATGTTAAAAAAAAAGTTATAATGACACCGGTAAGCAATGAATCATACTTTATTTATTCTTATATCTATATTTAGGATGCTCCAAAACCTATTGGACCATATAATCAAGCCATTCAAACTAATTATCTTCTTTATTTAAGTGGTCAAATTGGAATTGATCCTAGAACAGGTCAATTAGTATCAGATGATGTTCGAAATCAAACTCAACAAGTATTTCGTAATATACAAGCTGTTTTAAATGCAGCTGGATCAGATTTAACTCAAGTAGCACGTTGTCTTGTTCTCTTAACTGATATGGAAGATTTTCAAGCAGTAAATACAATTTATGCATCATTTTTTTCTTCAATGGAAAATTATCCAGCTCGAACAACTTTTGCTGTTAAAACATTACCAGCAAGTGCTAAAGTCGAAATTGAATGTACAGCATTTTCAAAAAAAGAATAATTATTTGTAATAGTATCTACATGTGATTTAAGAAATAAATATATGTTCACATGTTATGAGAAAGACTTGTTTATTTCAATGACTATATCACTCAAAATATATACATGGTCATTTAATAAAAGAACGAATATATTCAGATTATTCGTATAATGTGGTGATAATCAGTCAACAGTTTTTGCTCTCATGAACATGACAACAAGAAAGAAATACACGACAACTTCGTGTGACATACAATAAATAAAGACATTCATAATTCATATCAAGCACGATTATGAATGTAATCTTTAATGCAATAGTTTTGCTAGTAGACTATGTCATTATCTGTTCATATTGACTGGTCTTGCTGAAGATGCTTGATCGATTGCTTACAATGATTTTAAAATTTTATTTAAATAAGAGACTTTCGTTTGTCATTCGTACATACTCCTTTCTATTTTGAAACTTATCGTATCGCAAGCGCTACAAAAAAATTAAGCTGGTCTGATGGATTAAGTCATACTCGCAATAAGCATTTTTCTCATATAGATCATTTCGCCTTAACAATCAAAGAGTGTTGTAAACATCACATGAGTTTATTCTCTTTTTTTTCGTTCTGTCACCCCTGCATAAAGAAAGATATTTTCCGATTTATTTTTTTTTTCTTTTCTACCAAGACTATCTTTTTTTTCCTAATGCTCTAGTCGAAGTGGTATCATCGTGTACAACTAACGTTTCCAGTTGTTTTTCCTTTTCTTCACATCATTCCAGAGCACTTTTTTTCTCGTCGTTTCTAACTAGATTTTTTTTCTTTCCTTCCTTCCGTATGTAGTATGTCCTTGGCTGTTTTCCTCTTTCTTTCTTTCTTTCTTTTTACACTTACAGCTTGGCACATTCTATAGATTGAAATGCACACAAATGGGTAATATTACGCCATCATTATTATCTTCATTTAAAGTAAAATTTAATCGTGAGACACCATATGATTTTTATTTAAGTGGTGATCGAGTTCATGGTGTCATTGTAATTGTAACAAATGATAAAGACAATGATTTGAACTTTCGATACGGTCCTTTATATGTTGAACTCATTGGTGAATCAAAAGATGCTATAACAAATAATTATCAAGAAAGAATTCCAAATAATGCTCAAATATTCTTTCGAAAACGAGCACAAGTAATCAAATTACCTAATGATAATCAACAACTGGTGAGATAATATTCATTTAGAAAAAAAAATTATTTTTTTTTTTCAAACAAAATATTTAATACAATTTTTATTTTTACAAATAGGAATTAGTTATTCTTACTTTTATTTAGGAGACTAGCCATCGTCGAACATATAAATGGGTATTTGATGGTCTATTAGATTCCTCACTACCTTCATCATTACCACATCATGACGATGGTGATCCGTATATTGGTTATTATGCTCGTGTGTATCTTTATCGTTCAAATATATCTCGAAAAGTTCCGTTTCTCGTCTACACTCCAACTCCTATTCCATTCACAATTCGTCAATCGCTTCAGAACTATGCCATCGAAAGAAGTATACAACATGAAGATGTAACATTACGTGGTATTCTTTTAAATAATGGTTTTATCGTACCCGGTCAGATTCATATACTACAAATTGAAATTCATAATCCAATGAAAGTAACAATTAAATCAATTCGAGCAATACTCAAACAATATCGAAATATAACAGATGAAGAAACTGATTTCACTATTTTTTCTACTATTTTAACAGAATTTAAACCAAAAGGTTTCAATAATTCATATCATCAAGATACATACGAACTATTAATTCCATTAGAAAAATGTCAAGTTATGACACCAACATCATCGTATAAAAACGTACGATATGAACTTCATATACAATGTTCTATACATAGTTTATTTAATAGTCATTTTACATTAACATTACCTGTTATTTGTACTAGCGAACATCAACGAACATTAGAAATTATGGATGAATTAAAATCATTACCAGAAATTCTGCAATATTTATCGATTGATGAAGAAAATTTACCACCGACTTATGAAGATTTTGTTACTAGTCAACCTTTGCCAAAATATGAAGATATTTGTCATTAACTGTTATCGAAGAGAATTTATATTGAACAATTTTGCATTTATTCGTTTTTTTTTAATTTGTAATTATTCCTTTTAAATAGCAACTCATGTACACATACAAATAATTATAATAGTAATATATAAAATACATACCTTTTGTCAATCGAATTTCACAACATATCGGATCGCTTAGATTCACAACTCGAATTTTTTTTCTCAATAAATCATTAATTTTCATTTGAACATTTTTTAGTCGAGAAATTTTTAAACTACTGAAAAGTTATTATTTATTTAATTTTCTAAATTCATTATTTTCAAAACGTTTTTTTATCAGGATTAAGAAATATAGTATTGTAAATGTTATGCTCGATCGTCTTCATTATTTAACAACATTCATTATCAATTAATTTGACTGTCAGAAATGGTAAATTCTTCTTAGTACTAAGTATTCTTCTTTCAGATTGTTATCAAGTTTCACGTATAGACTATTTTTTTAATTAAAATTGACGCATGTATATTTGTAAATAGGATACGTGTTACTTATGTGTATTTACACTGTAATTTAGACAGATAACAAAAGAGCATATCGATGACGTAGATACTTAAGAAAATACAATTAATCAGGCATCACTCATTTTCTATTTTATAAAATGGCATCATATACTTATCAAAAATCCGACTGGGTATGACTGTTCTGTTATAGATACAAATGAATAACAATTCAATTTTTACATTATCAGAAACAATTCTAACACGAAATAGTAAATTTGGTATTTTACTTATTTTGGAACCACCTTCATTACTTTGCAACTTCATCTTCGTTTTCTATCTTATAATAGATCATAATCTTCGAGTAGCGATTCATCATCATGTGATTTTAGCACTTCTTATTGTATCTTTATTAACAAATCTTATTGAAATACCACGTATTTTACATTATTTACGTATTGGTATTGTTACACCACAAACCACAATGAGTTGTCTTATGTGGCAATGGTGTGATTATTTATTATATGGCCAAGCTAATGTACTTATGCTATGGGCTTCATTTGAACGACATATTCTTGTTTTTCATAGCCATTTTGTTAGTACAACTCGAGGTCGTTTATTTATTCACTATTTACCATTGTTTTTAATTATTATCTATCTTATTTTATTCTATACTATAGTTATACTTATATATCCTTGTAAAAGAAATTTTGATTTTGAATTACCTCTTTGTGGTCAACCATGTTTTACCGATTATTCAATTCTTTCACTTTATGATCTTTTTATTCATAGTTGGCTTCCAACATTTTTTATTGCAATACTTTCTGTAAGTCTTGTTGTTCGTGTAATCAATCGAAAAAGAACATTATTACAACAAGATATTCCATGGCGTAAACATCGTCGAATGATTCTTCAATTATTATCTATATCATGTCTTTATCTTATCTGTATGGGACCTTATACTTTAATACAAGTTATTGATTTACTAGTTGGTTTACCTGATGGTGCTGAATATATTAAAAATGTCTATTTCTTCTATGTATATTGGTTGTTGACATTATTATTACCGTACACTTGCATTGGTTGTTTGCCTGAAGTAACGAACAAAATCAAGAGACGAATAAGAAGTTGGATAAATCGAACAAATATAATTACACCTAGTTTGTTTACTTGAAAATATTTTATTATATAAAAGAATTAAATATAATCTTTAAAAATTTCTTTTTCTTTTTATACAAAAAAGATTTTATTTAACGTGTTAATAATGATATAGTTATAAGATTTATTTTAACAAATAGATAAATTTTAATCCTTTGAGTCTCGACGACGCATACATATATGTCCTGTGATTTGTCAGAATTGCCTCTAGTGCGTTCTTTAATTGTTTAAAACATCTTTTTATCGTTTATTAAGTGATGCTACACAAGTGCAATTCTTCTTTCTTTTCCTTCGCTCTGTGTGATGATGCACTCTTTCTTCTGCGCGAGTGCATTTCAATGCAATCACTTTTTTTCCCTATCTTTTGGATGTAGCAATGGAAAATACATTTGTTGTTTACTAAATGCATAACAATATTTCTTTTCATCTATCTGAGTTTTGACAAAGTATGGACGACAAATATCGCATTCAAAATAGTCTCGAAGGAAATACGTCGTTTGCACATCTAATAATATTCGATGTGATGCACGATATATTTGTTCTGATTTCTTCAAGGATTATCATATAAAAATAGACTACTAATGATCTTTGACATAAAAGTATAATTTGTTTATGAAGAAATAAAGATCCTATTCCAGAATTTCTTTAAAAAAAAGTCGATACTCAATAGTTACTTATAACTCTTTGATATTACACGACTAATGAAATTCAAGAATTTTACCTAATGTTTATAGTAGACAAGTAAAACATAATAATATTGAATCTTCAATAGAGATTATATTATATAAAATATTATTATTTATTTGTTTATACTATTTTATTTAAATCTGATTGAGATATTAAAAAATACAACTACGAATCTGATTAATTTCTCTTACATTTGTTTCTGCGAAGATCTTTTACTTTAATAATTACTGAAATTCAAACCTCATTAAAAAAAGATTCTATATCAATATAAGAGAAATAGAAAACTTTTTTACATGATTTGTGTCTGTAACTGAATAATATTCTTATAAATTCGATTCAATTATCTTCTGTATTTTGATCTTCAAAAATATTAATAAGAATGCATGATAAACCTGTATCTTTTGTAATTCATATTTGTCAATATAATACAATGAAATCAGTATTTCCTTATTGAAATAATATTTTTGATCATGTAAACTAGATAACGTTCATCAGGTTTACAAACGATTTTTTTTTGTTATAAGTGAAATTTATCATTATACATCTTTCGAAAATAATTTCAAGATTTTATCTTTTTTTCAAGGTAAGACATACGGGCAACAAGATCAGCTATAAACATTTTGGAACATGTGATAGTTACTTCATATCATCTGATACCATGTCTTTGAAAAAAATTCAAGGTTTCACAATTTATCCAAATCGAGATATATCTAAAACACAAAAAAAAATGTCCTGAAGATTTTCTATTATGTTGAATACGTTGAAAAGTAGTGTTCTCATGTATATTTTTCATTTTGAGTATAGAACAGGCCGTTTACACAAATCAATAGAGATTTGGTATTACAATCTCACGGCGCATCTTCTAAAGAATTGTCGTTTACCGACATTGAAATACATAAAATAAAATTTTTTTGATATACTCGATATATATATTATACTTAAGATCGTCATTATCATTTCTAGTAATAGATGTTCTAATATAAATATAAATCTACCCATACAAAACATATAAATATAATAAAGAAAAATGATAACGAAAATAAATTATACAGAATGAAAGAAAACGATATAAAATAACGTATTTTTCATGTGTATCATATTGATGTTGTTATAAAGGTGGTGCTTTTCTTCTATATATTAACAAACATGTTTATTAGAAAAAAAAATCAAGCACGTTTGTTTTTACTCATATCAAGGTGAGATAGGTAAATGATGATCGAAGGCAAACATATCTTCATCTATTACATCAATATTCTTTTTTGTAAGTAGTCTTTTATCTTTTATACTTTTGTTTGTTTTTATTGTAATAGCAAATCAACAAATATTCATAGGATGCACTCTGTTCATATAGTTACATATTATATTTCTTTATAAAGTTCAATAAAAAAAAAGATTTTATAGAGATGTAAGTCAATTAAGATAGTATCAATTAGTCCTTGACAAATATTAGTTTTCAAATGAGTAATTCAAGAGAAAAAAACAAAGTCAACAAGTATGTTATTCCAAAATTTACTTCTCAATAAATCTAAAAACAACCTGTCAACCTTTCTATATAGTTTCGTAAAATTTTGTAAATCTACTCATCTGTAAGTTAAATTCAATTTTTTTTGATTATCAATTGATTGACTATATATAATTCATATTTTCTTTATTTTTAGAGATAACATGATATTTACATTATAAAATTTCATAAATATCATGACAACATTATCACAGCATACTAGATTAATAAATACATCTGATAATAAAGATAATGTAATTCTCATCTGGTTTGATCCCGATAATGAATTATCTATTGATAGTGAACATTTAAAGATCCAATTAAATCAATTAAACCATAGAATTATTATTCCTACTGAATTTGAATCATGTATTAGTTATATTCAATCAAAAGAAAGAGAAAAAATTTTTCTCATTACATCTATATCATATGTTTCTCAAATATTACCATATATTGATGTTCTTCATCAAATTTATTGTATTTTTATACTTTGTTCAAAAACTGATCAACATGAATATTCATTTATTCAACATACAAAAATAATTGGTGTTTATAAACAATTTGATTTTTTATATTCAATAATTCAAGAACAAATTGATATTTTTAATAATCAATTTGATTTATGGAGTTTCTTTGATCAAGATGAATATAAAAATAAAGATTTAACAAAACAATCAAGCAATTTTCTTTGGCTTCAACTTTTACATAATATTATTTTATATTTACCATATAATGATCAAGCTAAAAAACAAATGTTTAATGCATGTCGTTATTATTATCAAGATAATAAAGAAGAACTTAAACTTATTGATGAATTTGAAGCAAAATATCATTCATATGATGCTATTGATTGGTATTTAAATAATTCATTTCTTCGAAAAATAATTAATCATGCTTTAATTATGGAAGATACAAATCAACTTTATACATTAAGCTATTTTTTAAATGATTTAATTCAAAATTTTAATCAACAAATTGTTCAAATTAATGAAAAAAAATTAATTGCCTATGGATTAATAGAATTATCAAATATTGAATTTGAAAAATTAAAAAAAAATCATAATAAACTTATTTCAATAAAAACATTTTTAATATGTCATCGTTCACGTTCATTAGTATTGGCATTATCTACACAATTACCAAAACGAAATAATTCTATTCCTGTTCTTTTTCAGATTACTTACGATATACAAGATATTAATAATAATATAATATTATATCAACAAGAAGTTTTATTTCATTTTAATACAACATTTCATTTAGAAAATATTCAACATGATAAACATATATGTTGTATAAATATGAATGTTGTCAATGATGGACAACAAATTCTTGAAAAATATATAGATGATATACATCGTCAGATAGATAATTTAAATATTTTAATTATTTTTGGTAAACTTATATGTGATATGAGTCAATGGAATCAATCACAAAAATATTTTGAACATTTATTGAATGATAATATAAATAAAAATGATTTACCATGGATAGAACATAGTCTTGGTCAAATAAATCGTTGGAAAGGTAATTGGCTTGAAGCAAAAGAATATTATAAACATGCCTATGATCGAATGATGAAAGATGAAGTGAATTGTGAAAAAGATTGTGCTATTATTCTGTGTGATATTGGTGAAATATTACATTTACAAGGAAAATATGAAGAAGCATATGAATATCATGAAAAAGCATTAACAATTCGAAAGAAATATTATCCATCTTTTGATCATCCACATATTGCTACTAGTTTAGAAAATATTGGTTTAATTTATTATCAACAATTAAAATATAATGAAGCACTTGTTCATCTTCAACAATCATTAACAATTCGAGAAAAATATTTTAATTATTTTCATGTTGATATTGCAACAAATTTAAGAAATATTGGTTATATTTTTATTGATCAAGGAAAATATGATGAAGCACTTGAATATCATCAACGAGCGCGATTAATCTATGAAAAATCTTATTCATCTGATCATGTATTTATAGCATTAACTTATAATAGTATAGGTAATATTTTATATTTAAAAAAGAAACATAATGATGCACTTGATATGGTTCAACATGCATTAATAATACAAAAAAAATATTATCCATTTGGTCATATCGATATTGGTACAACATTAAGTAATATGGGTAATATTAAATATGGACAAGGCAATTATGATTTAGCTTTAGATTTATATCAACAAGTATTAATGATACAAAAAAAATATCATTTATCTAATCATTTAGATAATGTTTGTATTTTAAATAATATTGGTTATATACTTGCAAGAGGTAAAAGATCATATGATGAAGCACTTCATTATCATCAACAAGCATTTCTAATGTTAAAAACATATTATCCATCTTATTATGGTCATATAGCAATTAATCTGAATTATATTGGTGATAATTTAAGTAAACAACGAAAATTTCATGAAGCTATTGATTATTATAGACAAGCATTAACAATACAAAAAAATTATTATTCTTCGGATAATGTTAATATTGCACATACACTTAGTAATATTGGTAATATATTAAGTGATCAAAAGAAAAATGAAGAAGCACTGGATTATCATCAACGTGCATTGAAAATTTATGAAACATATCATTCATCTGATCATATTAATTATGCAACTAGTCTTAATGATATTGGAAAAATTTTATATCGTTTAGGAAAATATGATGATGCATTTAAACATCATGAAAAAGCATTGATTATACAAAAAAAATATTATGATTCTGAAAATGCACATATGGCACTCAGTCTTAATTATATGGGTAATGTTCGAAGTAGTGAAGGAAAATATGATGAAGCAATTGATTTATATAAACAAGCCTTACAAATTTATGAAACAAGTTCATCATTTCGTTATGCTGATATAGCTACAATTCTTAGTAATATAGGAACTAGTTTAAATCATCAAGAAAAATATGATGAAGCATTTGATTATGAACAACAAGCATTAAATATTCGACAAAGTCATTATCCATCTGCATATATGAATATTGCTGATAGTTTTCATTATATGGGTAATATAAGAAATAGCCAAGGAAAATATAATGAAGCTATTGATTATTATCAACAACAATTAAAAATTTATGAAAAATATTATCCAACAAGTCATTCCAATATAGCGAGTATTTTAAGTTTTATTGGTAGTAGTTTAAGTCGGCAAGGTAAATATGATGAATCATTTGAATGTTATAAACGAGCATTAAATATTTATGAAGAAAATTTTTCAACGAATTATAATCAAATCGCTCGTTATTTACAATGGATTGGTTTTGTTTGTTATGTTAAATTAGATCTAGATTGTGCACTTATTTATTATGAAAAATGTTTAAGAATTCGTGAAATTAATTTTAATTGGGATCATTCATCAATTGTTGATACAATTTCTTGTTTAATTGAAGTACAACGAGCACGAAATGAACATGAAATTTGTCTAGCATATGAATTAAAATGTTTTTTAATACGTGAAAAATCTCTTCCAATTAATCATCAAGATATTGGCAAAAGTTTATTTAATATTGGTCATTGTTATGAATATCTTAAAAAATTTCAATTAGCACTTGAATATTATAAACGAGCATTAGTTATTTATGAACAATGTACATCTTTTTCACGTGAAGATCGACAGAAATTAGATGCAAATATACAACGAATTTCGGAGGAACAAAATTTATAAATAATTATTTTACTATTAGTATCAATTGTTATTTAATATATATATAAATTTTAATTTTTAATTGAAATGAAGAACTATGATAGCATCATCTATATTCTGTTGGTAGTTTTTTTTATGTAGACAATATATATAATAAAATAAAATATACCTATGATTAATACTATTTATATCATTAAACTAACAATAGTAATAGTATCGAAATTGAATCATCGATTTAATTTTTAGTAACCTATATACTCGAACATCGATTCTGAGGAAAATCTAAAATATACCTTTCGAAGATTACAATTGATGCATTCTTAACCTGTTGTCATGTTTTGTATTCTCAATTGTTAGAAATATACGTTAAACATTGTCTGAATTGAAATGTTGGTAAGAATTGTATCAGTACATATTTTATATAGAATTTTTTTGGCTTTTCGAAACGGTAACATTGAATGTAATACCTTCAGGTATCAAATTAGAACAGAAGAAAATCTCGTTTTCGGCTTGTAATACAATTAAGTTTCCTTCGAATGCGTTTTTAATCTGAGTTGCGTTAAGTTTCTCTAAGTTTCATTTATAAACAAAGTGTACAGAACTCCATTCTGCTTAATATTCGATAGTCATTGTCCTTCGCCAAATTTTCGAATAAATTTTTTTTTCATACGTTTAAGCTGTATAATATTTATCTTCATATCTTGTTAACAGTGTATGAAGATATCGCATTGATTCATGAACGAAATTTATATACACGCCCTTATCCTTATCCACTCTATACATCTACACTTTCAGTTCATAATTTATTTCCTATAATCCTCTTTTATATATTGATATTTATTATTCATACTATCAGATAATCCTTGTTTTACCTGTTAAAAAATAAAGTATGCACTACTCAGATTTTGTTCATCATAAAATACTTTAAATTCATAACTATAGTAAGCAACGATTTAACTGAAAAAATAATGCAGCAAGACGATATTTTGTACTGTATTTATTTGATGGCAATCTCTTCTCTTTAAGTAAATAGCTGTTCATACGATACACACAGAATAAAGATGTTTGTCGTAAGAAATATGAGATTTAAAAAGAAAAGTCCATGAGAAACACGCAGAAACCAGAGCAAGTGCATGTCATATTAAATTCTTAAACAAATCTTTTTTATTGATATGATTAAAGTAGACATACTCATTAATGCAACGATGATATATGTCTACACATATAAATACTTCGATTTAAATATGAGATCTCATGTGAAATTAGAACAAATCTTTTTCGTTTTTATCTAACATATTTATTGTTTATACTATTTTTATAACTAGTCAATAATAATATCATACTTATCTTTGTATTTTTATCATTTTTGTAAAACCAGTCGAAACTATCATCATTATATTATTGATTTTTTTCTTATCACTATTTTAGAGTCAAATATCTTTGCGACTGTCCTTCACTAATTGTGTACTTTTTCTTTTCTCTTCTCTCTCTTCCTCTTGATGCACTTCAACGAGCATAACTGATACTACGCCTACTTTTCAAACGTGTTGCTCATTTTTTTTTGTTCGCATGTATAGAAATATATGAAAAAAACTATGCTATCTGTATTACTTCCTATTTTATCAATCTTTATTTTTTTCATCAATAAGATTAATATACGCATGATTTTCTATTTACACTGTATTTTTTTATAGAATAAGAAAATTTTGTTATTGCCTTCTATCGTTATGATTTTTTTTCCAACTTTGATTTTTATCTATCCAAAAAGGTAAATTATAAACTATACCCAATGTATTTTATATAACTAACTTACAATACATTAAAAAAGCTATTTTACCATTAAGAAACTAATTTCATATGCAGAGTTATAAATAGCATATTCAATATTTTAACGCATCATTTCTGACATTGAAAGTACATCCTTTGTAAATGTATACTAAATATGACAATATATTTATTTTAAGTTTATGTCTTTAAGAGTTCAGCATTCTATTTTATTGCTTATTTTCGTCATTGATTACATTAATTATAGAAATACATTTATCGAAAATAATTAATTTTCGATATAATATTTTAGAAAATGATTCTTCATTATCGCTGAAAGCAAAACATGGACGTAGAACATCTGGAAACTGCGAATGACGATCCTCGATGGATCAATACGAATAACAATTTTAATGCAGAAGAAGAGTATAATGATGATAGTGATCATCAACCACTTCTTAAGCAGAATATTGAATATTCACCAAAAAAGAGAGTATTCATCGCATGGGCAGAAACTTCAAGTAACAGTAGTATAAATGAACACCAAAATCAACCTGAAACTGAATTTCAGCTATCTGTAATAAATAATCAACCTACTGTCGCACTTGAACAACAACCTCAAAAACGAAAACGTTATTCATGGTTTATTTTGATTGTATCTGTCATACAGATCTGTGTTTTTATAGCAGAACTAATAACAAACTGGGTTCTGACTGGTAGTCCGATTATGAACTTGTCTAGTAACCCTTTATTTGGACCCAGTTCTAAAGTACTTATTAGAATGGGTGCTGGCTTTACTCCTTGTATGCATACGATTGATAACCTCACTGCTAATAGTCTCCTCAAATTCAGTTGTTTAAACAGTACAACACAAACTTATCAGTACTGTACTCTTAAAGAATTATGTCATTTTCATGATGATTCTCAAATACCGAACCAATGGTATCGTTTTATCGCACCTATTTTCTTACATGCTGGTGTTATTCATATTGGTATGAATATAATAACTCAACTTCTATTCGGCTTAGTAATTGAAAGAAAAATTGGTACTTTCCGATTAATAGTCATTTATTTTGCATCGGGTATTTTTGGTTTAGTACTTGGAAGTAATTTCGCACCAGAAGGTTTTGTTAGGATTGGATGTAGTGGTTCAGTATTTGGACTTATTGCAGTCGCTCACCTTGATCTTCTCTATAATTGGGCTCACAAAAAGCATCCAATAAAAGACCTTATTATGATATTAATAACTACTACAATCGATTTATCAATAGGTTTACTGCCTTACATTGATAATTTTAGTCATGCTGGTGGTTTCTTTATGGGCATTCTATTGACACTTGCATTATTAGGTGCACCAACAAATTTACGAAAAGGCAATATAATAGAATCAAACATGTACGATTATGATAAATGGTATAATTTAGGAAGATATCGTCTTTATTTCTCAAATAGGCCAAAAAAGTGGTGGATATGGTGGTTAGTAAGATTTATAGCATTTGTTACAGTCATCACCTTATTTACAATACTTATAATAAACTTTTATACAAGAATGTTCAAATGTTCTTGGTGTAAATATATTAGCTGTTTACCTGTTAATGGATGGTGTGATATTGGAAAGCTATAATTCATAGTTCAAACAACATGATTTTTATAAACAAGATTATATACTTATTAAAAATATCAACAAAACTCAGCATTTTCTTTTTAAATTCAATTTGAACAAATTATTATAATTTATTCCAGATTGTTATTGATCATCTATTGAAGATTTGATTTATATGAAATAAATAGTAAAATACAATAAAACTGACAATCGTTTAAGTTAAATATTTTGTTCTAAGTAAGATGTAATTAGTGAGCAAATATGTGACATACGAAAATTATAATCTCAACATGATCGTAAAAAAGGCTATAGACAAAAATAAGAACAAGTAGGATTTATTCTTGAAGCATTTTTTATAATAGTTACTTCTAATATCTACATAAGATTTTAGTTCACAATCATTTGTATAATCGAAAATAAATTTTGTTGACAAAAATACTCAATTCTGTATCGATAGAGAAAAATGATATGTTATCAATTGTAATTGTCTGTTTTTCTTATATTGTTCATCTATACTTTTTCTCTTCAACCTGTTTTATTTCAGATTTATGACAACAAAAAAGTTTTCTTTCATTGTTCGACAATAATAATTTATGTATTTATTTAAATAGTATTATTAAAGAATTAATCATTACCAGCAATTGTATTCGCTCTTAGAAACTTAGATAATATGACTTAATCTTATAATATTCGAAGCACTTTCTTTATCTCATCTACTATTAAAATGATATTGCATATGTATGGAGTCAATTGCTTAAACTAATACATATCATATTTATATTAAATTTGAAGTCTTCTTATAGTATAAATCTCTATCGAAAATTAGAATTAATAAAATGTGAAGAGTTTCTCTTTTATTATAATGTGATAAAAATATTTAGTACATCTTCAGGTTTCTGGACAAACATATATATCATCGTTTATTTTGTATAATCTTGTAAATATAAAAAATTCAAAGTTATTTTTTTAAACCACAACATATTCAGATTTAGATCAAGATTAACATTCGTTGTGATAATATAAAAAATAGTTAATTACCACTAAATTTATTTTTGTTCACTGCAATAATAAATGAAAATAAACATGTCTATGATAGGGAGTGAAATATTAATTTATTTTTGATATTTAAGATCTTACATGATCTGAGTATGATCGTACTTTTTTAAAACTATGTCAGCATTTGCTGAATCTTTAGTTAAATATTATCCTCGCCTCCGGTGATATTTATTCTCGTGTCTCGTCAGTATAAATTTTCTAGCATCATTGTCATGCCAGTATATATTGATAGACGACATAAAATTATTTAACATCAATAATTTTAGCACGTATTGTAAAATATTTGTATATTATTTTTTGTAAAATATTCACACATGATGTTAATTACATTATTTTGAAGTTTCATACGTCATTGTGCTCTATTACTTATTAACTATTACTATGGCACTGAATTTTATCAAAAAGAATGACAAACACAATAATACAAACTGGTGTAAATTGTTTCTTTCAGCTCTCATTCCATGTATTCTTGGTATTTTTACTATTATTTTTACTGTACAACAACAAGTATTATCCCAACAACAACATGAAATTGATCGACAAAATCAACGTGATGCACAACGAGAAACAGCATTCAATGCTTATATTAATGATATCTCAAATCTTCTTTTAAATACTAATCATACAAATAAAACAAATTTTTTTCTTTATATCCGAACAAAAACATTGACCGTTCTTAGAAGTTTGAATCCTGAACGCAAAAAATATATCATTTTATTTCTGTATGAAAGTGGTCTTCTCCAAGGTACTGGTCTCGACTTGAGCGGTGCTGAACTTGATAATGTTGAATTGATTGGTCCCTATAAGCTCGATGGCCTCTATCTACCAAGTACATCCTGGGAAAATGCTCTCATTGTCAATTGTAGTCTTAAAAAAGCCGTGTTCCGTCAATCGCGTATGCCTAACGCTCGTTTTATCAACTCATTACTCGAATCAGCTTTATTTACCGAAACTATACTGGATAATGCTTATTTCATAAAAACATCAGTTGTGGGAATCAATTTTATTAGTGCATCTCTTATACATGCTAATTTTCTTGATGCTGAAGTTGTTCAAGGCATCGATTTTACGAATGCAGATCTTTTGTATGCTCAGTTCACTGAGAAACAATGGCTAGGACAACGAGTATCGACTAATGCGCATAGTTTCCGCTATGCACGTCTTCCAAATGGATCATTTGGAGATTTAAGTCCAACAAGAAATTTGCTTCAAAATGGTGATGCGGAACAGAAAGTAAGTTTATGTAAAATATTTTAAACTAAACATGTATTGAATTGAATTTTCTGTGTAGTGTTCAACTCTTGAAGAAATCAATTGGGAAGAGAGTCAGGTAACCAATGGTTTGAATATAATCAAATTTAACAAAACGTCTGTTGTCGACATGAATATTGATAATGGCACGTGGGGTAATTGTACGTTTGTAATGACTACTAGGAATGCTCGAGCGTCTCAATATATCGATCTACGCCTCTATTCTCGTTTGATTGATATGGACAATGCGATGTTTTCTTCATCGACTTATATTGGCTGTAATGGTTCTACTAATGCGCCTTATGTAGAAATAAGTACTTATGAATTAAATGGAAATATAATGGAAACACCAGTTTATTTAAGTAAAAATTATAAATTTAATATCTTGCTCTTGTTAATCTAAAATGATTGTTTTAGATCATACAGAAAATACAGCCAACAAAGTTGGTATGATGCATCAATATAGCATTCAAAAATATCGTTTATTAAAGTATACACACAGAGCACGTGTTACTCTCGGTATCAGATTATCACAGCCAAATAATATCTACTGTTACTTTGACAATGTAACATTTGCAATGCAAAAGCGTTTCAATTAATAATTTATATAAACCTACGACTTCTTTTTCTTTGAACTTATGATATTTAAATTTGTATATGTTGTAAAAAATACTAATTATTTAATGTAAATTGTGTTTCTGATAGCCTTGGCATATTCATACAAAACTAACATGATACCGTTAAATTTTCTTTCAAAATGAGGAGACAGATATTTTTTTTTAAACAGCAAATTTCTCCAATAATACATACTTCGTAATAAAACGATAAAGGTTAACAAATTTCTTAGTGTAAATATTAAATAAACATGTTCATATAGAAATCACCATCACAGAGCCATGTATATAACAAAAAGCTCGTTGAGCACAATATCACACCTCTACATTTTTAAATACATTGAAATTTATCAATCTCTTCTAGACATGTAGTCTAAAAAATATCGTTTTCTCTGACGTGATATAATAAAATAAGAAAAAAACTTTTTGATGAATAAAACTAAAGCACTATCTATATGAGCATGTGGTAACAATATCAATAGATCTTTACATTGAACAAATCAAATATTATGTCATCTAATATGTAAGCCTATTTGATCCGGATGATACTGACTATCTCTTTGATAACAGTAATCATCTTGCGGATGCATATTTTTATAACTAATTTATTTATATGCTCTCACATCCTGAATAGCATAGATAATATCACTGGATACGCTCAAACATAATAATATAACTTTCCTTTATTAATATAGGATTAACAGCTAATATTATTAACTATTTATATAGGTTTTTGCTTTACATCTGTCATAAAAATCTGAGCTAAATTTAACGATTCAGGAAGAGATTATACAGTAAATAATTTTCAAAAGGAAACTTCACAAAACCAGTTACATGGCGTTTTTTTTTAAATGTTCTATTTTTATGTCTCTCTCAAACAAAATTGATAAGAGAATATTTTTCTCGTGAGTTTATTATTTTAAATATTTTCTCCCTCTGTTTCTTATCTGTTTTGTGCACCATCAAAAATCTATAGTAGAAAACAACTAGATAAAACTATACAAATGTTTGTTAAACAATAACTACATATTTTTTTCTTGTCTTATTAGTATCAAAAAATTCCTTGTTATTCCACATACGCCATTAAGAAGAGACATTTGATAAATCTCAGTTGTAAGAAAAAATTTTAATTCAATTACATATGTATAAATAACAATTTGTCTTATTCTGTTATGTAAATTATATATCCATCGAAGTCAAGTTTTTCTATATTTTTGTTTCTATTTAAATTTAAATCCTTAATTTGTTTTCTTAATTAATCAATTATAATTATCCCAAATAAACGAAGAAGGATAACATACAAGTATAATATCTAAAACAGTTAAATATAGTCTCTGCTTCTTTTCTTTTTCATTCTATTCTATTTTTATTTCAGGAACTTTAAGAATAAAAATTATTAAAGAAGAAAATGTAAAATACATTTCCTCTTAGTGTCCTTGAGTTATACACACTCAAGTAAAATGCGTCATACTCATTATACTTCGCAATATATTAGAGTATGACATGAGACATTTTAACCACATAATTTAGACCTATTTTTAACCAGATGGTTATTGTTTTTTGAAATCAAAAACTACGAATCGTCTTGAATAGATTAAGTTTCGATCAGATTGTTGTATAGAATTGCATATGTATAATTCTTTGTCCGATATGAAACGACAGGTAAGTAGTGAACAAATATATATTATGAGAAATTTTATTTGAGTATGTAAATTGATATACGAAGACAAGTCTGATATTTTTTCCTATAACTAAAAATATTCATATTATAGAACAGAAGATCAGTGCATGACTTGAAACAGATAATTGCTACTAACCTGTTCGAGATTATTCTATATCTGTCGAACAGTTTAACTATTAACGGTTTTAAAATTAAAATCAGTCATTAAAATATTTATCACTTTATTTTAAATATTCAGATATACTATCTTACTACCGACAAAAAATATTATACACTGTCTTTCTAGATGTCTTCTTTTAATATGACTAACGATAGTATTGCTACGATAAGTACTATTAAAATGCATACAAAAATGTTTACTAGATATTGGTGTATAACAATATTTGTCATTGGCTTTTTTGGACATTCATTAAATTTATGTATATTTACTCGTCGTACTCTTCGTTATAATCCATGTGTTCGATATCTTATGGCATCAGCTATTGGTGGTTATCTGATTATTTTTATTTTAATTCCGATACGCACCTTACAATTCGGATATGGTTTGAGTTTATTTCTTTCATCGGAAATAACGTGTAAAATTATGTCATTTGTCTGTTCTTGGATAAGGTATTGAATATACAATAAAATTGATATTTATTTTATTTTATTTAATAGAATGTTATCTTGTTGGTTTCTAGCGTTGGCATCTGTTGATCGGTAAATAATAATTGTTATATAAAATAAGATATTCTATTTTATTTTTTATATTAAGATTTTTTTGCAGTTCAACATCGTCTACACTTCGTAGATTGAGTTCGCTTCGTGTTTCATTATGGTTAATTCCGTCAGTGACTATATTCATTGGTATAACACAAATTCCGATATTGATATTTTTTAAAATTAATGCTCAACCAAGGATATGTCTTGGTCAACCAAATTTATTTCAAAAAGTAAATGGAATTTTGATTATCATCATGTGGAGTTTAATTCCATCGTTAGCAATGCTTATTTTTGGTTTTCTCACCGTACGTCATATTCGACAATCAGCGCAGAGAGCTGCAGGTCACAAGAGTGGAAATCGACGAAAGGTACGAATTAAAACTGTTGATAGACAATTGATTCAAATAACTCTAACTCAATCAATACTTTTTGGAATAACATCAGCTACGGGTGCAATTGGCGGAATGTTCAATATTATTGATAATGGATCACGTAAAGATCCACTGACATTAGCTAAACAAAGTCTTACTGGAAATATACTTTCTTTTATTGGTCTTCTTAGTCCATGTATAAGTTTCTATATATGTACATTATCAAGTCAATTATTTCGACGTGAACTTAAAAATATATTTTATACCCAACAATAAGATTAAATATTAAGATACAGTTTATTTTAAAATATCATACATTTTTTTTGTCTATTTTTAAATTGAAATATTTCAAATAATAAAATAAAATAAATAAAAACTGAATTTTTATTTTCTATAAATGATATTCATTTATATGATTCTATGCTGAAATAAAACAAGATATTGTTGAAATCTCTATACAAATTCTATGATGTATTCTTACTTTCTTTTACTGACATCAGGAGAGGAATATGAATTTTCAATAAGATGGAAATTTATCCTAATAATTGCTTAATTTTTATTTTTATATGCTACTCGGATTCTTAAATTAGATACCAAATATTTAAACTATAAATCTTACAATCTTGTTTCTGGAGAAAATTATAAAAATGACGAGGAATTTTCTTTATTGATAGTTCATCTGTCATATGTATTTAGCTAAAAAAGAAAATATACTATTGTTGATTTATTCGTTTGATAAATTTAGAGAAAAAAAAAGCTGCCTATTACTCTTCTCTATACTCTAAACATGAAGGTAAACTATAGATCGAACGATAATATCTGTTTACTCAAATAATTACTCCACGTGTTATAAGCACTGGTTAATGTCTATTCTTCATGATACAGTATATACGCATGGGGATTTAGTTTTTTCTTCTTCATATTATTTACATAACAAAAACAGAAGAATACAAGGATGAGTAATGATATACAAAGCGCATCATCTACACTTAACATAGAATATGATTCGAAGTAAGTCATGGTTCCCTATATTTTTTCTTACTAATAGCTTAAAAAATAGCATAATCATTTATTGAATGTTAGTTTTATCTATTTAGTCAAATACGTTCATCATTTTTTTCTCGAATAATCGCATTCTTTCGTAATGATATCGATACAAAGCATGTTGATCTACAATTGATTGCTTTCGGTTTCGAGACAGGTGTAGTTGATGTGATGTCATACAAGGATTTCTCAGTTTTTGTCTCAAATCAAACAGGAAATACAGTCTTCTTTGGAGCTCGCATCGCAGGGCAGTCATCTGCTGCTTATAGTTTGATCTGTGCAAGTCTTTTTGGTTTTCTCATCACTGGTTTTATCAGCGGACAAGTGGGTCATCGAATTGGTAATAAACGTCGATGGTGGCTAATATGCAATACTTGTTTTCAAACCATATTAATCTTTGTTGTTATCATCTTGATGTCTAAAAAAACTATTTTACCAACAGATAGTAATGCATACATTCTTGTTCTTCTTCTATCAATTTCTTACGGTTGTCAGGTGGCTATGGCTAAACATCTATCGTGTCCTGAAATACCTACAGCGGTGGTGACTTCACCTTTCATAGATCTTTTATCTGATCCAAAACTGTTCAAACGTCACAATGTTCCACGAAATCGTCGTTTCTTTTATATTCTCTTATTTCTCATTGGTATTATTGTCGGAAGCTTTTCTTACAAAAAGATGAGCAGTGAATTTACACTAGGTATTGCCGGCGTTGTTAAAGCGCTCGTAGCCATATCATTTTTCTTCAATCCAAAAACTAATTCTCAATCTGAAGCATCCGAATAAAAACTTGTAATTTAACATATTACTTTTATTTAAAGCTGTACTAAAAATCCGAAGCAAACTTTATCTATCAACCAAATGACGATAATTCTGTGTCAATCAATCATTGATTTTCCTGACACATGTATTATTAATCTTAGTATATGACTTATTCAAGAAATTTTAATAAGAATTGAGATATTAACATTAGATGATCAGAATAGTAGAGCCTTCAAGAAAAGATTTGGCAATGATTAGAAAAAAACCACAAGACAATTAACGAACTAAATTTCGTAGAAAAATTTTTTTTGAAACTGAATCTCTAAAAAAGTTAATATGATTTATGCGTAGATGTTCTATCTTCGGTAATGATCATTCTGAAGAAGCTTATATCAACGACTATATTAATTCATATATTAGATTGAATTATTCGTTTTTACCAATATGAGTGTGTATGCTTATTAAAGTATACATATATAATATTTACTAGATTTTGTGTTATATGATTATCATTATGATACAAACTAGATTCTAATTGTGAATAGAAATCAAAAATAACTGAAGAAAAAATATTAGCACTAAAACAATGTTAATCTCATTTTTATTATAATATTAAACGGATTGATATCTGATGACAAAAAAATGTATATATTCCATATGACTATATTATATATGATGTCGTTGAGAATGTGATTGTAAATAAAGAATAGATATAATATTCATACGTACGTAATTGCATGAGAGTATCATTTAAAAAAATGGATGTATATAAATCAATGCATTATTCTAATTTTCACATGTTAAACCATATAAATAATTTTTTGTGTAAAAAATAACCTTTTTCTCCTTTTTCGTTGTTAACGAAGCAAAATTTGGAAATATGCTATTACTCTTATTCTGATACATTTATATTTTATATTATTAAATAGACGTAACGATGAAATTCTTTTTGAAAAATCAAATAAATAATTTAGTCGTTTCTCTTTCAATGTTCACAACCATATATTTTTGAAATCAAGTCATTACTTTGCATATCAAGTTTAAAGTATTGTCAAAAACATTATTTTGTAAATTATAACTTATGATTGATGCTCACAATAATAATATACATCAAAATACAAGCCATTTTTATCGATAGATAAGGACATGTGAGAGGAGGAAAAAAAATATTTTGTTAATTGTAGATATATATTATACGTTGCCCTTCATATACGTTTTCATTCAAGTGTAACTATGTGGATTGTATATGATGACAGCAACGCATGTCATATAAATGAAAATAAGTTAAAAAGCGACGTAGGAGGAACAAATACTTTTACGTGCCTTCATCCACAATCGTAAAATTGTATAGAACAAAGCAGACGCCTACATATTATTTGTTTTTGTTAGAGTAAATAGATTCATTTTTAATAGAGGATTTATTTAGTTTATTTTCTTTTAGATTTTAAATATAGTATAAGTACAGCATTCGATATCTATTCGAAACGTAATATCTAAACGACGGATATAATAACGCAGCGAGTACATTAATTTCAACATCAATAAAAAAAATATCTCAAGAATGACACATACAGAAACAATAACAATGAAAAAAAAAGTTATTTCAACTGCTGAACTCAAACAATTAGTATGTTCCGGTGGTGATGAACGATTATTACTTGATCCATTAACTGGTGTTAATATGTATGGTTGTCCACCAGGTCCGGTAGAACCATCGACCTGGGTTCATCTTTCGTCTTCAACAGCTACTCCTATTTCTAATGGTGGGTTTTCTCATCTCGCAGAAATAATGACTACTCTTGATGAAACCGATGGTAGTGATCCTGTTGATGAAAGGCTGGAGGCAATTCGTCAAGAATTATTTAATTATATTGGTATTACATCAGTCGATGCTGATATTGTTTTTGTACCTTCAGGTACTGATGCTACTCTTCAAGCAGTCTTTCTCGCTAGAATATGTTTACCACGAGCGACAACGATATTAAGAAATCTGGTTCTTGCAGCAGATGAAGCTGCAGGTCGTGTATTTAACGCTGCTTCTGGTTTTCATTTTAACGCCAAAAATATTCGAGGTGATGACGTAATCAAGGGTACACCTATTCCTGGTCTACATGGACCTACTGGTGATAAAACAATTGAATGTATAGACGTTTCGTTTGAGAAGTGCCAGGATGAAGCATATATAGAAGAATCTGTTGATCGTCTTGTCAATCATAGTGGGGATACGCATGTTCTTCTTCATGCTCTTGATACTTCAAAATTAGGTAATCGAACACCTAGTCATGATTGTCTCAATCGTATTGAACAAAAATATAGTAAAGAAGCACTGACTATTCTTATAGATGCATGCCAATTTCGCATGTCACCATGGCGTATACGCGATCATATCAAACGCGGACGATATATTACGATTACTGGATCAAAATTCTTCACTGGACCAGCATTTAGTGGAGCTATCATTGTACCTGCTTGCTTTCGTGCTCAAATTCAACAAGCTCCAGTCAATAATTATATGACTAACGAGCTTGCAGCTTATTCAGCCATCTCTGATTGGCCTCAATCGTGGACAAATATTCGTTCGTGTCTAAATACCTATACTACTGTATTATGGAAATCGAATATTGGTCAGTTCTTACGAATAACAGCAGCTATGTTTGAACTTCGTCGTTATTCAGCTATACCATCCTCATGGCGTGAACAGTTTATTGTTGCAGCGACTGCTGAAATTCGAGCTGCATTCTCTAGCGTTCCAGATCTTCTTGAACCACTCGAAAACAAGACAAGAAATTCCTTTTTTGATGAATTCGACGAAGAATTTCGTCATCTAACCATTTTTCCATTTTTTATTCGTCAACCAAACAAAGTCAAAACTTTTCTTAATCTGGATGCATGTAAAGAATTGTATCAAAAGTTACAAATACCAAATGAAACGAATCCAATAACAGTTGTCATTGGACAGCCAGCAGCTATCGTAGTCAATGGTTATCCAGACACTGTAACAACATTTCGTTTTTCTATTGATGCACGTACTATTTCCGATGCATTCGAACGAGCACATGGTGCTGTCCCAGTAAAAACCGACATACTTCAATCTCGACTTAGATTAATTATTAAGAAAATTGCCGATATTGTCAACACAAACGACAATCAATCGTAAACAATTCGCATTTATCGTTTTTAATATTTTTGGAATAAATGAAATAAATTTATTTAGTATTATCTATTCGTATATTTTTATTTGTAATAAATCTCATTAGAAGTCTTTTACATTGATTTCGAAATGATGGTGATGTTGCTAAATAAATATAAAACGGTAATGCTGTATTAAAATACATAATAAATGATTGTGTTAAATAATTAATAAATGATTCAATTTGTTTTTGATCTTCACTTTTAATAGAATTATTTGTAATCATTTGGTAAATCAGATAAATTGAAAATGGTAATGTACTTATAACATAAAATATAACTTCAACAAAAACCATTTTTAATAAATCTCGATCACGTTTTCGAAGAAATGGTATTGAAATATTTTCTTTCGTTGGTTGGATACGTACACGCATCCGTTTTAAATTTTTCATTACTAATAGACTAAATAATATTATTAAAAATGGAGGAAGAATACCAGCAAATATCATATAATATATTGTATAAATTAATGCATAGGAATTATCTTGTATATTACATGAACCATTTTCAATAGTACGTACTACAGCAAAAAATATGACTATTAATATCCAAAATATTCCACTGATAATTACAAGACGTTTTGCTATTTTAATTTGACTAAATGAACGTATTCGAACTTGTAAACTACATAAAGCAAAACGATCGATACAAGCTAATACTTTATATTGTCTCATTATTTGAAATGATGTATGACGAATATAAAATTGAAGTTTACAAGCGATAAGAATTGTTGTACTTATATCTGTATGATCTAGGGAGAATATAATTGGAATTATTCCAACATTAAGACATATTAAATTACATATTGTCATCCATAATAAATAAAATGAACAAGAATTTCGACGTTGTTCCGATTGACAGAAAACAGCAATGGTTAATAAATTTCCGATATTACCAAATGCAACATATGTACTCATACCATATCGTGTTAATAAATTTTGTATTGATAATAAATATACTGTTGAAGACATTATTATTTTACAAATGTTTAATCAAGACAAAAAAAAAAGAAGAACAAATCTCTAATTTTATATACTATTATATCAACTAAGGCTTGAACATTTAATTAAAATTTTGTTTGACGTTTATTTTATTAATTATGAAACTAAAAAAAAAATTTCTGACAGAATATTATATGATGATGATGTACTTATTAATAATTAAAATGTGGCGTTAACTCAATACATGCAAAAACACTAATGAGATTAATATAGTAGCATAAAAACACAATGAATTATTTTTCAAATGAACAAGCACATCATTCATAAATTGAGTAGGTTGATATAATGAATTAATTATAAATTTTTTATAGAATAAAAAATAAAAAAATATTTTGAAAAAATTTATTCAAATGAATATTATTTGTTGTTTGATAACGTTTTTTTTTCTTATAAGAAAAATCACCAAATTGCTGTTCGTATCTAGCAGGATTACACCAATAAGGATTTTTTCATCTGCTATGAGCTCTACAAAACCTTTCGAAAAATACTTCCAATGTGATTAGATTTTTACTCAATAAAACATTTAGCGGACTAGATGTTTAAATTTCTTATCGGAGTGTTCTCTATGGTCCACCTGTATAGTGATACCTTCGAAAAACTGATTCAAAAACTATGAAATAGTATGAAAAAATTTTATGAACCTAAAATATCTTTTCCAAAAACAGCTATATGTTTATCTTAAACCATTTATGAAAACAAATTATCATCTATAAGAATATAATACAAAGTCACAAGTTTTATTAATACATAAAATACATCTTTGTTCTATATAGTTTATTTTAAATACATTTAATATTACTGTTTCGAAGTTTCTTCGTTACATTTCTTTCAATAAAATACATAATTTTCAGTTGTATTGTTTCTTTAAACAATTCATGTTCGAGAAGCTATAAAATTGATCATGCCTGTTTGTTATAGGGAAAATGCATCAAACATTGTATTGTAATGTGGATATAGAAAGCTTAAAAATAAATGAATTATACTAATAAGAAATGCAATTCATGATTGAAAAAGCTTAAAAACAACATATTTTGAGTACGCATATACATTATTCTCAAATCAAAACTTGATGTATTAATTCTGCATTTATTATTAAGCATAATTAAAAACTAAATATCTCAACAAGAACCTCAGCTATTAAATCGACAATAATAAACAAAAAACAAGTATTTTGTCTATCGTTGACTTGGACTTAATTATATTTTCCGTACAGATAAAACAATGATGCTTATAACCTCATTTCGATGAGCACAGAGATTTTAGTTAATAAAAAAATAACTAAAGCACCACTTTCTAATACAATATTGAAATTTGTTCCTATCATTGGTTTATGCATTAACACATGTCTACTGAAAATACTCCAAATAATGATTATTATGAAGTGATAACCAAGAAATCAGTACTTTCGATTGTCTAAAATTAACATTTGTTGTTTTGAAAAGAAACCTAATTATTACATTCAAATCAGTTCCATAGAAGTGTGTTTTCAAACAGAAGAATGTTGATTATATATTGAATTTTATATATAATTAGATTGATACCTATAAAATGATACTCACATACTTATTGGTAAATATAGTTCATATAGAATTGTTTTATATACAGACAGAAACGAGCTACAAACGTGACGTGTAAGTCGAATGGTAAGATATGAGAGCGAAAGCATCTGCGACATAGTAACTATAACGTGACTCCATTTGATTTATAGAAAATGATGGAAAATGGTAGAAGTTCTTTGGAAATGCTATATATGGCACAAAGAAGTAGTCATTCTACAGGTATTGATTTCACTAAATCAGATTATAGTCAACAACATAAAGAGCAAACAGACGATAAAACAAACTGCATAAAGTATGATTATATTTATTTTGAACCATACTATTTCAACAGGTATTTGGTTGAATTGTTTTTTAGACGAGTCAGCAAGCGTCTTCTTGGTTATGCGAAGTCTAAAACTTGTTTATTTGGGTTAGTAATTGGTCTCTTAACAGGTGGTATTGCTTTGGCTGCAGTTACAACTATATGGAAAGATCCAATTAGTAAGAATTTGTGAAAGTTTTCTATTTTTCATGTCAGTGAATATATGAGAAGATCCTCTGTTCAATTTATCATAAAAATAGATGAAAATATGAATGTGAGTGTAGGAGTAGTTGTTAAAACAATGCTTTGAATATATGTACAAGATAGCGACAATGAAATAGCCTTATGCTGTTTTTTTTATGAACAACTGATTGAGCAATCTTATATTGAACTGTTGAGCTAGTATGTGATAGTATCTACAACATAAAATCAATAATATTTAAGTGAAGATATTTTTATGAAAGTCTTGGTAGTTACTCAAACATTACAAAGTTTTTGACTAAAGCAATTACTTTCTTCATGCAATTCTTACCTTTCTAAAGGCTGTAAGTGTATAAGTTGTTCTAGCAACTAATCAGTTTTTAGGAAAATTATTGAATTAATAAAAATGTCTTTTATTTTGTCTATGACGTTCGGCATATCTTGTTTTTGCTAACTCTCACATATACATAACAGTGAGGTGAAATCTAAAAGATATCTGGGAAGTTCTTTTGAAAAAGTCATAGATTTTGTCTATGTCTCGAGCACATGCTATATTCTCTTCATGGTATATACTAGGTACTACAAGCATTAGTACTATGAGTACTACTAGCTCCACGACGACAACTTCTTCGACAAGCACTAGTAGTACGAGTGCTACAACATCAACAACTTCGACAAGCACTAGCACTACATCAACAACAACAACAACTTCTTCGACAAGTACAAGTACATCAACAACAACAACAACTTCTTCGACAAGTACTAGTACTACGTCAACAACAAGTACCACCAGTACTTCTACAACAACAACAGGTACGTAATTTATTGCTCTCAAGTGATGTAATAAATGAAACTTCATAAAAGAATAGTCTCTGTCAGATAACATCGTTGAAAATTCTGTATATGTCAAAATACTTGTAATGTAATTACGTCATTGCACATAGTTGTCTCTGATCAGAGGTTTAAATAAATTTTGAGTAGTTGGTTGAGTCTTATAATTTAAGGAAAATGTACAGGATCACAGCGTAGCATATCATTCCTATTATGGCTACTGAGAATACAGAAGTGAATCATTCAAAATACTAACTCAAAAAGTTTCTTATTTGATAAACGGACAATCTGGTTAAATAACATAGATAATTCTTGAACAATCAAATAGCCATCTAGGTTACTAGTTAGAATAAAGACGGGAATATTTTTATTCTCTTGAAATATCATGTTTTCTTTTTATTTTTGACAAGCATTCCATATAACGAACAGAGATGCACTTTAAAAGAAGATTTTGGTTAGATTAACTATTAAAAATATGACTTCGATTTGATACAAATAGATCAAAAGAATAATTGTGCTTCAATTATTCTTGTTTGAAGTATTTGACCTACTTATAATCTTTTCTCGGAAAGATTCAATCAAATGATTGTATTCATTCTGACTAACCAACAAAAAACTAAGATAAATCACATTTTTTTTCTTTTTAGCTTCATCTACAGCAACTAATCCATTCACACCGTCGACAGTTACTTGTGCTAATACTGTAGCAACACGTAAGTTGTTTCTGATTTTTGTAACAACTTTTCACAACTAAATAATAAGACACATCTTCTCATTTAGCTTGTACAACAACAACAACACTTGTGGCTAGTTGTCAAAGTTATGAAGTTTCATGGAATAACCATTGTTACTATCTTGATGGATCAGGTGGCAGTTGTATAACTGGCTATAGTCAAGGAACGAATGCAGTTTTGACATGTATTGCAACACAGTTTGCTGGTAAAACATATCGAAGTACAATATCGAATAACTGCTGTGTTTGGACTTCAGACACGTATGAATGTTTCATATTAAATTCAAATTGTAATTCAGCTGGACCATTTACATCTGGCCCATCACTTGGATGTACTGATGCTCAACAACAGTATGGTCAACAATTGACATTCTGTGGTAGTAATTAGTTCCGTCAATTTCGTTAAAGTATTACAATCGAAACAATTTGTATTTAAATAACATTCCATTATAATGAAGATTTTTATATATACCTTTTTTGCCATATTGCTTGATATAGTTATTCAGACACGTGTGAAAGCAACAATTTTCTTTTGTACATAAATGTCTTTTGATTCCTTTCTTTTCGTATATTTTTAACATCATTACTGAAATAAAATTTCTTCAGGAGTTCTATGCCTCAAAGAATCAAGTTTAGTATGGAAGATAAATCAGCGATACGATACTACTACTAATAATAAATCATCAAATATAGCATGTAGAATTTATGCACTAGTGATATTATTAACAGCTATCCAATGTAGTAGATAGAAGCACCATAATAATCTCAACTGTAACGAGAAAAGTTCATCGTTTCTGAATCAAATGGTGGATTAAAATAAGCTGAATATAATAATTGTTGGAAATGCAGTATACAGCTTTAGTTTCAATACTGCCAAATTAAGCATTAAAATAATGAACATTTTGTGCACTAGGAGCATCAATGCAATATTTTTCGAGAATATGTCAGATGAATTTTTCTTTCGTTCACAATATGTAATATGAGAATAATATTGATCAATATTTTGTAATTATAAAATCTATAATAATCCTTTGAATATTCATTTCAATTGATATCTTTTTTAGTTTCATAGAGCATTTAAAAAATATGAATAAACATTACTTTATTAAATATCATAATACAGAAGATTTCAATTTGCCCTAAATTTTTAATAAATATAATTTCATCATTCACAGCTGTTAAAAATGTTAAACAATATTACAATTCATCTTTGTTTAATATAAAGACTGTGAGGCGTGTATCCTCTAATGAAATGCGAAGTGTGAAGATGATCCTGACTCCCACAGTCGATCCCGTTTATTGAAAAACAGTTGGCTTATATAGATGACAGTGAACAAAGACACACTATCTACACATGGAATCTTCCCTAGGTGATGACAAGCGAAAAGGGAATATTCCATGTGAGATCTTGACAAGAGAAGAGAGAATGATCGTATGTGTGAAGAAAGAGGAGAACGCAAGGAAAAATCCCTCATCATATATATATATATATA